CCCACCATGTTCGGATCCCATAATCCAGTACTTGAGCTGCACAGACAATATAAAACAATAACCACCAGCATTTTTTAATTGCTTAGCCTCAGATAGCACAGCTTAAGCAGCATTGTTTTATGGGATCCGATGATATCAAATTCAGTGGTACTATGAACTTGAAAGTCGAAGCTAAAAAACATGTCCATTTGCATTACTTTCTTATTTTCAGCCATTAGTGTAATATTAAAGGAAAACGAGAATGTTACCTTTTAAGACCTGTATCTCTCCAGCGGCGCTGTTCTGCACCATTGCTCCTTTTTCCTTCACTACAGATTCATTCCACAATGCGAAGGTCCCCCCACTGTGAGAAGTACTTTTAGGGTTAGGGGTAGCTTTATTAGCTTCACCATCCCTATCTGCAATGCTCGCTCGTGCCACGTTATATACACTTGTCTTCAGCTTTGAAACGCTTTCGTTCTTGAAATTGGAAATGTGGCTTATACTGTAGGTGCCAATTCCCCCAGGGAGAGCATGCTCGACTGAAGAGGGGGGGGGGGCCGTCTCAACTGTGTTTTCTCCCTTGCCACTGTTCATCTCAACACTTTCCAGTGGTTTTAGAAAGTCATGCGTTTTCAGGAAAACTCCTGTGGAAAATCCAATACTTTCGCATCATTCAATTACATCCATGACCCACCCACATTGCTCTCAGTTTGGAAGGAGTACAAATATAAATACCTAGAGTGTAGAACCTTGTATTTTATATTATTTTATATGTATTTATATTGTACATATTTATATTTATACTCCTTCCAAATAAGGGAAATCGGACTCTTCTCGCTGCTTCTGTAGTTCTGTATCATGCTGATAAGTCTCCACACAAAATTCATCTCGAGATACTCTAGTTGGTTGGTTTAAATTCATGTATAAGAAAGTGCGTCATATGTTGGGTCATTTTCTAACCTTTGAATCCAATTACCAGACGTACCATGGGGTCCATGACAGTCCACCTACTAGCTAGTGTGTATTTCCACGAACCTCTGCGAGGCTCTGAGACCAATCGGACGGTAAAACAAACAAATCAATCAACTCCTCACGTGAGGATCCCCCCATTCCCTGAATCCTGACCACACATTGATTTCATGAACCCGGCATTTCCGAAGCTCTAAGTGCTGGACCATTCCGTGTACCAAGACCGTATTACTACCCTGATACAGACAGTCCAGTCAAGCTTCCAGTGAGGCCCAGAGGTAAATACAGGTGATGCTGATGCTGAGCCATTGACTACTGAAGCATAGCCTAGCCTGCTAAGCTAATGCAGTCCTGGTGGACTGAACTGTGAACAAACTGTGAACTATCACACACACACAAACACATGTACTCACGCTAAAAGAAAAAGAAAGGAATAAAACTCCAAATAGTTAATGGGTATGAACCCTCAACGGGGGTAGCCCAACGAATGAATGGCCCAGATGGATGATTCAGTAGGGTCACGTGCATAATCAATGGAGCTGCGACAGGACCATCTGATATTTTTGTTAAAGAAAACATTTAATTTCATAAAAACCGAAGGGGAAATGGAGATATTTCATACCATGAGGAGGCCTCGGATCCTGGTTTTGGAAAGATGAATGACTGTACAGTGAAAGAAAATCGTGTGTTGGTTTTTTGCCTGTAAAAAAAAAGTAAAAATGAACAACGAAACAGCATAATTCAATTGTTTAATTTGTGTGCAAAAATTATAAGGAAAATACAATACTAATTCTATTTCTCAGTGTATACTACATACCTTCGGTTCCGAAGGGACGAGGTTGAGGGAGCTCCATCTGAAAGTGAGATATATTTCCTTTCTTTTCTTTTTTTCTTCCGTAGAATTTCAGGCTCTCAACTTTGTTAGTCAATTTAACGCCGGTGCTAGAATTCCGACAACTTGAACGAATTCGATCAAAGAGATAGTACTTAGAAGTCCACAGATGAATTTCTACCTGAAAATCACGAAGCGTGAAGGTCCAAACCTCCAGGCGTTCTGAAATAGAACGGATGAATTTGAGTGCGGAATTGGATAAACAGAAGAATCTATAATTTTCCAAGAGCTTTTCGGATCCGTAACAAATCCAAGGATCAAGTCCTGACAGAAGCAACGACTCCGACTGAAGATCGGAGGCGCATTCACTTCTTCTATCAGGAAACCGCCTAGAATTCAAAGATTTATGAATTATAAGTCGAATTGTAAAAGAATCTAAATTCTTACATCCTTTCGTAATAAAGAACCGTCAATTGTAATGTTTTCTGCCAACTTTCACCTCGGCGCATTCCAAGTAATCGTTTATACAGCGAATTTTCTGGGACTCCCGACGCTTTTCAACCAGAAATCGAAACTTTCAGTTCTCCAAAGTTTTCCAGGAAATCTGTGAGGCAAATTATCGCTGAAACCAACAAAATTAACATAAAATTCTTCCTATTTAAACACTGGAACCAAAGATTTATATGGTATTTTTAACCACCATCCCGAATAAACTATAGAAATTTTGGTTCACTCAAAAGCACAGGAACCTAGAAGACAAAGAAAGCTGGATCCACAAGATAAACGAAGTTTCAGATGCCTACCTTTGACCTGAATTACGGTAAGCTCAGCAACGTGCAGCACAAATGTGTCTGAAAATCGAGAAAACATCAATTCTGTTGTTCGCTTGTCGAAGTAGGTCGAAATCAGATAAAATAAATTTGAATTTCACGTAAGTACAACCAAAAACAAGTATGCAGAGCAGAAATGTTGCAGAATCTTGTTCGAATTTCCAGAGAAGATCTTCTCTTTCTTCCTCTCTCTCTCTCTCTGTCTGCTTTCTTAACGAGCTGTGCGGCGGAAGAAGGGTCGTGGGTCGGAGGGACAATCACTCTGTTAAGATCCTTACACGGCCTCCCTTTCTTGTTTTTTTCTTTTCTTTATATGAATAATAATAATATAATAACACGATAAATTAAAATCAAATTTTTTCGTAAAATATAAACCTTCAATTTTCTTTTCCGTCACGAAAAACGCCGTTCTTTCTAACGCCGTCATAATGACCAATTTAACGCCGTTAAATTACTGACTGACGGATTCATTGTTCTCTCTGAATATAAAGTTACCATACTACCCTTCCAAACATCATTTTATTCCCTTGATAAGATTTCCATGAACAATGTGTGTGTAGGTTAACTAGACACTTCGAATGTCTGAGCTCCAATGTTCCATCCGTACTCCTTATGATCCAAGCCGTCCATTTGTGATAAACTTCAAATCAACGACGTTCGATGTGGAAGAATCTATTGAACCTTACCAAAACGAGGGCGAATAAAAAGCATAAAGAAGGGTAAAATATAAAAATCTACCCTGGAGTTGACAATCATAAAAATCTCCTCTACAGTTTTATTTTAACAAAATCCTCTGCTGAAGTTTTGAGAAATCCAACACATACCTCTGTCAATGACCCATATGAAAATTTTTGCAAGTTAAGAAACTGCCCGATTAATAGTGAGAGAATACGGGTGGCCACGGGCCGAGCTCTATACGAGCTATTTGAACTTGGCTTATGAAAAGTTTGGCTTGATCTTCAAGCCAAGTTCGAGTCTAATTTATAGGTTCGTTAAATAATCAAGCTTAATATAATTAAATTCATTAGACTTGTGTGAGCCGAGCTCAAATAGCTAGACACACACACACACACACACATATATATATATATATATATATATATATATATATATATAATAAAAATATTATATATAATATTTTATTTTTATATATAATAATAACTAATTATTATAATTCTTATTTTATTAAATATCAAATAAAAATATTTTTATATATAATTTTTTATTTTTATAAAACATTTTTTTCAACTTGAACTCGAGCCGAGCCTAACTCGAACTTATAAGTTTTTGACTCGAACCGAGCTTGAGCTCAAGTTTCTAACTCGAATTGAGCTCGAGCCTTATACTACCTTGGCAAGTCGAGCTCAAGCCCCGTACTATTCGGCTCAGCTCGAATCCACTCCTAGTGAAAACATCATCAAGATATTTTTAAAATGCTAAAAAATGTCCTTTACTCAATTCACTCAATTTTACTTGTTTAGAATAGTAAACTAATTCGCTCTAAACCCTAAACAGTAGAAAATATCATTTGCAGCGGCACCATCTATCCGAATATTCCACACATTGGAGAATATCTCTGGCCAATAAGCTTTCAACAACCTTCAAAAGGTGAAAAGAAAAACCATGCTTTTTTTATTTTATTTTATGTTTGCATTTTGTACAAAAGGGTATCTAATAGCAATGAGTTCTTAGCTGAACCGGTAGAAGGGCTTTGTGTGCATTTCTGAGAAGCCGAGTCTTTTCTCTACTGGTTTCTTTTCTCTCTTTATTTTTTTTTTTATGGTCTTGAAGTCGGAAGCCATGGCCGAGCGGATGTGGATGAAATAAAAACTGGGGAGATCACAATGGTGACAACTACTCAACCCTTTCTCTTCTTTATATTTATGTATAGGGAATGAGTGAAACAGGAATTCAATCTTTTTATGGAATTGTTTCACATAGATTCAATGTTGGGTCTGTCCAAGTTTTTCTTTCAAACCTCCGACTCTGAGTATAGGTCTCTCTCTCTGGTCCTTCCAATTTTCTTACTCTCTAACCACATTAGATATCGCTCTATTTTCCAATTTTCAACACAACGAATGTCATTTGGCCGATGGCACCACTCTCCCCACCAGCGTCACCAATGGAACTATCTTTGCTAGATTTCCCAATTCCCACCATTGATGTCAAGATGGCTATGGAGACCGTTGGAGGTGTAAATCAGGTTGTGCAACCTGTGGCTTATCACATTTTTGAGCCAGCTTGACCCAGCTTGATGGTCCATGAGTCGTGCCTCGACATGGCATGATTGTATGGGTTGTGCTAGGTTTGGGGTTTCAGGTCTGCAAGCCGGGCCGACATGGCCTGCAGGTCGGTAGCGGGCTGAGTGCAGCCCGCTCGAAGAACCAGCCATCGGAGACCCCCCCAACAACTAGTTTCAATTTTTGGATTTTTTATAGAAATACCCCCCCAATTGCTATAAATAGTATGGAGTGTTTATGTATTTTGGCTTTGGGGTGAGATAAAATGACAATAATGCCCCCTAACAACTGTATAACATCTAGTTTAGAGGGGTATTTAGGTAAAGTGATAAATGACTTTATAATGAAAAAAAGTATCTTGTCCTTCCTACCATGGCACATGATCTACTAACCCCTCCAGTGTCTACAGTTCATTGGAGTCTTGTTTACTGCAAGTAATAGGGTGTTGGACAACAAGAGAAGCTGTATGAATGATAAAAGTTTGGAGATGTGCATCTGCCTTAAAAATTGGTTGGGTTTTGAGGATAAATTACAAGACAAAGGAGGGCATGACGTTACACCTGATGTTTCACCTGAAGCAAATGATGAAAATCAAGGATATGATTAGATGAAGATGAGATGAAGTCAATATTTTTTATTTTTTTGTATACTCAATATTTCAATTATTGTATTTTTTCAATTTTAAAATTATTGTATTTTTTCAATTTTATTTAAATTAGTTGTTATTTTTCCAACAATGTGATTTTTTATTTTCAATTTATAATTGTATTATATTGTTCATATTTTATTCCATTTTCTATATTCCATTCATCCATTGACCATTGTGTTGTTCAAATTCAAGAAATAAAATTCTGATTTTTTTTCCAATTTGTTGTCAATTTTTTTATTTTGTTAAGTATTTAAGTATTTTTTTTTCATTTCTTTGCTAGTTTTTGTTTTTCCAATTTGTTCCCAAGGTTCAGTTTGGAAGGAGTACAAATACAAATATATATAAAATAATACAAAATACAAGATCTTACACTCTACAAATTTGTATTTGTACTCCTTCCAAACTGAACTCAAAGCTTAAAGGAAATAAGGAAAGTGAAGTATTTTAGTTTTAGTGTTTACTTAGAAAAAAAATAAAAAAAAAATCAAAATGTCAAAAAAAGGGTAAAATACAAAAACCTCCCTTTAAGTTTCTAACAATAATAAAAACCTCCCCTATAGTTTAACTTTAACAAAATCCTCCCTTCTCTTATCAAAAAAATCGACAAAACCCTCCCTATTGTCAATGACCCAGACGGAAAATGTTAAAGCGAGGATATTTTTTAAAATACCTATTTTACCCCTACATGAGTTATTTTATACCTATTTTTACTAAACGGTAAACCACTTTGGGGAGACGACGATGAACAACCATAATCAGCTCCTGCAATCTCTGGTTGTACCAAACAGTTAATGGCGTTTAGATTCAGAAGCTGTTGCAATCTTTGGTCCCTAGAGAACAGTAGATAGTTAGTTCCTTTTTTTGGCTTTCTCTCTGTGTTTTGTTGGTTGGTTAGTTCTAACGTTTGTTTTAGTGGAGCTGAAGAGTAGCCGAGAAGTATCTCTACAGCCATCAACGTCCACAAACATGATGATCTACGGTGACATCCCTGAGAGAACTCGGAGGGGTGCTGGGATGGAGTTGGAAGCATTGAAATATCTAAAAATAGTTGGAGAAAGATTAATGGCGGCTTTGCGGCACTTGATGTCTCATCTCGCCATTGAGGCACTTGATGTCTCATCTCGCCATTGAGGCACTTGATGGAGTCGAACAATATGACCTCAAAAACATGAATAATCACGAAATCAATATCAAATCAAATTCCAAGTTCATGCGTGAACTGACAGAGATGGTCCTTTATCAGGTTCGCCGTAGGAAACAATTCTTCTGGTACAACAACAATAGTTTCAAGAAATGAGGGAGGAACATTATGGGACTTGGACTTGCTTGCGATCTCTTGCATGAACGATGCCCATTGACCTTCGAGCCCAATCTCGAAGTCTATTATGTGTATGGACATGGCTCCATCAATGGCCTCGAAAAGCGCCTGATTAGCGATGAAATTCGCGAATTGAACGACGGGAGAGATTTCCTAAAGGGCCTTATAGGCTCTGATTCTGAGATAGTTTACAAGATGCAAACCTGAGCTGTTCAAGATCTCTTTCGCTACATCGGGGTTACAAGTGACGATGACACGAGTTTCTCCGAGACTGAAAGCCATGAGCCGACTAGCTTCGCACTACTTCGTCGCAGCTGCCAGCTGGCGGTGCGCGAGGCCAGCCATAAGGTTCATGCTTTCAAACACAGGGAATCCTGGTTTGGCTCTGGTTCCTTTCTTCCATTAGTACCTCCCTGGGTCTACCTGGGTAAGCCCAGTAAAGAAGAGCCACTATTAAACAAGCTAAACTCAGGAGGAGTAAAGAGGAGAGGAGATTAGTGGAGGAGAAAGCATTGCATTTTGCAATGAGAGCAAAAACCCAGAAGCACTCTATTTTTGTTTTCATAGTTGGCGGGAGAATTTTGCTTTGGATCCAGAGGGAGAGGAAGGACCTATAGATTTTTCGTGCGAGACTCCGTAAGAAGAACCTACAGATTTCTCGTACAAGACTTTGTGAACGCTTTAATGGTAAAGCAGTTGAAGAAGATGAACAGTGTTCAAGTGGATTATTATGGAGTGCATCGCCATTCTGCCGTTGTGCGTGCGAGAAAGAAGATGAACAGTGTTTGAATGACAGGGCTATTTTAGTAAAACAGATGCATATTAATTCGTAAAAGGGTAAAATAGGTATTTTGAAAAAAATGATAATCTCTTTAACGTTTTCTGTCTTGATAGTTGACGGAAGGGAGCTATTTGTTGAATTTTTCAAAAATAGAAGGGAGGTTTTTGCTGAAGTGAAACTATAAGGGAGGCTTTTATGATTGTCAGAAATTTTAGGGGAGGTTTTTGTATTTTACCAAAAAAAAAAAACAGTTTGGCCCGGTTCTGCCCATAGCCCAACCTG